CTGAATGTAAATCTTACCCCCCAAAAAAAGGAATACGGAGAGAGATTAAATTCCATCTGAATAATAGAAATATAATTGTATTTATCCTTTTGTTCGTCCTCTTATTGACCCCACATTGATATTCTGTCGGATTCCTTCTAAAAGTCAGAAAAATAAACCACTGCGGCCTGCATTTCCCCCATTAGTCTCTGTATTGACTCCAACCTCAGCCAAACCACCTCTGCACTCATGAATTGACAATGAGGTCTACAATGTTATTCCTTGCTTGGACTTTGCAATAAACGGTGGCAGAAAGTAGACACCAGCTTTTGTGTGTGTGTAAAGCCCACAGTAACAATAGAGGTGTTTTTCAGTGGAGAAGATCCAGCGTGTAACACTAACAGGAATTATTAAGTGCTGCAGGCATGACACAACTACAACAATCCAATCATTTACAGGAAATAGGAAATACTAGTTATATTTGCTTGGATACGTACATCAAAGATAGTTGACCAAAAAGTCAGCAGCTGTGTGTTTTAGCGGCTGCTCTGGTTTCTCCTCACTGAGTCAAGGGTCAGGCCTGATCATTTCATCTTTATTTTTTGTTTCATCCATTTATTTAAAGGTCTTTGATCAACTCATTTGATTAACATGACTAAACACACACCTGACCTCATTTGTAATGGAGAATATTCCACTCAGTATTCAATGTTTCAATTTTTCTTCTTTGATAATTCATGGTTCTTTGGAAACCCTCATGACTTTGCAGTCCTAGTGAAGTTGTAGGAAATAAATGGTATCAGATCTTAAATATGAATAGTTTTTATTCAGATTCTACGCAAATCTGTGTTGGGCAAACCTCATTAAGAAAGTCTTAAAGGGGACCTATCATGCAATATGCACTTTTGTACGTCTTATATACATGAATATGTGTCCCCGGTGTGTCAGGGAACTCACCAAGTGTCAGAAAACACAACCCTCTCTCTTTTCCTCCATACCCGAAACTATAAAAAGGGGGCTGCAACGGATCTGATACAGACTGATACAGATTTGAAATTGTTCTGACGTCAGAAACGGGGTGCTCCGCCTATATGGGCAACTCTCCACCTATCAGGGGAATGAGAGGTTGCATGGCATGGTAACAGCATGGTAACAGCATGGTAACAGCATGGTAACAGCATGGTAACAGCATGGTAACAGCATGGTAACATGACGCTCGTGCCTCGCCCCCATCTCTGCAGCGCATTTCCCACAGAATCAGCCCTTGTGAAGAGAGGGCTGGAATACAGCAAATAGAGCCAAATGAGGCATGGCTAAAATGCGTGATCTGTTTGGTATTTTGATCAAAAACAACATAGAATATATCCCAATTGTTTGGAAATGGTAGTCAGTGGAATATGTGTTGACTTATGTCTTGTTGGCAGCTGTCGGTAATAATACATCTTGAGGGGAATCATTAGAAGTATGCTCTATACAGTTACATTGTTAACCTGAAATGTATGAGATGTGTTTATAGCCACGTTAAATTACTAAAACTATTTTCTATTCAGCTGTTTTCTTTATTCCTATCTATGTTTACAATCAATGAGCATCATCAATTAATAATGTTTTACAATTGAATGGGAATTTGTCTTTTGTTTCTTCATTGTTACATGAAGGAGTGAAACCCTCACTAGATGTGATTACATATATGTACCCGAGGGTTAGGAAATCTGGTTTAATCTGTACAAGATTTACATCAAACCAGGTCTGAAGTTTCAAATATATCGTCTTCACCACATCTCAAATAATTAATGTTCATGCCCAGCATCACTTTCTGGAAGTGGGCTCAGGTGAGAGTGCTAACGTTTAGCTCGGCTAAATCTAGGACACAGGACCTCTCATTAATATGGATCTCTCTGTCTGCCCGGTGTAATTTAATGATGACAGGTGATATGGCAGCAGTGATGTGGACTGACGTCAGGCGCGGCTCATTGTCAGAGAGCTGTGCTGTCTGTGAAATCCTCAGTGGTGTTCTCTGCTTAACTGCAGTTAGTCTGCACGTCTGATAGCAGAGAGAGGAAGTGATGAAGCTCCCCATGTGGCAGCTGAGATGCATGCCATCCATCCTGCAACAGCTCTCTGGACTCCTGATGGATAGGTAGATTGATAAGGCAAACAGAAAACAGACACGAGGCACAGCGTTGAAAACTTATGCCGTTGCTTAGTCAAGGTCAAAGACCTGCGTCACTCTCAGCATCTAGTGCATGGAAGGATTAGTGTCTACCAGCCCCAGGTGCTAATGGTGCCCCTGAGTCTCTGTCTGAAGTGACTGCTTACATTTATCGTTGGAAAGCCAATTAAATGACTGAAAAAAGACACAATGAGAGGCAAAACTACGACAAATAGGAACACCATTACTACAAGACACTCCAAACAACAACAAAGAGAGGTTAAATGACCACAGAGACGGACAAAACGCCTGAAGAGAGAAACATAATTGCTACTAAGAGACGAAAGACAAAGAAAGAAAGAGAAAGAAACACAAAATGACAGAATAATGACACGCTGTTTTTCAGGGTGTATTGCTGCAATACTGTAGGAGGAGGGGTGGGTGGGTTTTCACATGATCATGGTCTATTGTGGTGCTATGATCTATTGTTATACATGTTCTGATGTTTCAACATCCAAAGGAAAATTCTTATGAATTCATGATCACTTTCGATATCATTTAAAAAATCTTTTTTAACAAATAAAACCAAACTCCTATTTGCGATAACAGTTTTTCCCAGGATGTAAGAATTTGCTGCTTTTATACCATTGTAAATTACAATCTTCATGTTTCACTGTTTGATAAAAAAAAGATCAATTAATAGGAAAATGAATCACAAGAATAAACAGTAATGACATTTATTTGTACTTGCATCCCTCAAAGTAATGTAATGCAATGTTTTGTTCTCTTTAAAAATTGTTCACTGTAAGTTGTTGATGGGAAAAGCATTTGATGGCTTCCTGCGGTTAGCTCAATTAACATAGAAACACTTGTGTGTGGATTGTGTGCAAAAGCAATCATGCCTTGTGGGTAAAAGTATAATGAAATAACAAATATGAGCCTTTAGGAGATGTTAGCACACCCTGGCCTGCATATATAATCTCTGTATTATGATGCTACTATTGTACCAATCAGCATTTTCATTCTTAAGATTGCAGGGGACTATATTCACTGGATAATAAATACATCATTTTCTATCTAGTGCCATTATGCAACATTCAATTCATTTGATTTCAATGTCAATTTTAAAGAAATAACTATAAAAATATGCTCCATGCTGAGCTGTTGTGCATAAGGCACAACAATAATTGTTTTTAATGTAATGTATAAGTTCTTTATGAGTAACCTTTGCTGACATGTGCTGTACAATGTATTTATCACTATCGCTGCAGGGGACTGATTCAAATCCTAAATAACCGCACTCCACTGGGTGCCTGATTAAGTCTTTAGTTTACTAAGTGTGGGAAATGAGTGTAATTATACAGGAGAAATGTTCCATACATAGAAAGATATGATAGAATTGTCCCATCTGACAAAATGTTTTCATATGCAGTTAAGTATAAAGCTGGGGATATGTGTTTACAAATAGTGTTAATATGTAGCATCTACAATTTCTTTTCACCAGCAACCCCCAACACTTTGATTGGCATCTTAGAGCTTTTTATTACCTGTGTACCCCCGGCATATCTTGAAGAAAAGTCCAAATTAAGGGTTATCATTGTTGCCAAGGCAACGTGCTGGGTAATTTTCTGTAATTTTCCAAGAACGATTGCCAGTGACGGTGGAGTCCATATCTAAGCGCAGTACACTATAAAAAAAACACAGGAAATCAAACACTAAAAAAATCAATCTTCCATGTGAATTTGTATTCTTGTTACATTCTGTTTCCACTCTAAATTGCTTTCCTAAAATGTCCTTTATTCCTATTTTTAAATGTTTGAAAACACAAGAGGATGTACTTCAATTGTGCATGTTTAACATTTACCCTGCTTAGTCATCAAAGCATGCTGTAGAATAAGCCCTGCACACATAATGTACTTTCTCCTTGTGGGCCCGATTTGCACCCCTCACTAAGCTGCCTCAGAAAGATAAGCTGCTAAAGATTGGCAGAATTACTTCCAGCATCTCTTTTCTCACTATGAAATCTTAGGATCAGAACTTTGTTTTTCCTCTGCTGTTTCTCTGTGTGAACATCTCAGATGCCCCAGATTTCAGCGTATTGAATAAGCTCATCTATAAGTAGTTGTACTCATGTTTGAGTGGTAGCTC